TCCGACGTATCGTATATGGGAAAAAATCAAAGAACATTTCAATGTGAAAGATGTGGAAAAATGGGACATGCTAAAGATAATTGTTGTGTAAGAGAACCGATAAATGGGGAAGCATTTCCGGCAGTGAAATACTTAGCACCGGCATCTAATGTAAGAATGATACAAAATAGTGATATTTTGAAAGAAGGTAAAGATGAAATTATGTGTTTTAAGTGCAGAAAGGAAGGACATCGTGCTATAGAATGTCGAAAGAGGTGACTAAATGATAGGAAAATAATAAAATGGAAGTTATTGCATTAAAGAATGAAATGAAATTTCGTGTGAGTGGAGATGTAGAAGTTAAAAGAAATTTAGTAGAAAAGAAATGTAAATTTGGTAAATGGTGAAAATATAAAAAATTATAGAATTCCTATTTTAAAATTAGAGGACAAAAGTGAGAAGGATAAATGTCCTCGTGTAGAAGTAGTTGTAGGAAGTAGAGAAATATCTATGCTATTGGATACAGGTGCTGCGATATCGATTGTAAGTTATGAAAATTATTGTAAATATTGGCCAGAAGAGATAATTAAAGAGGAGATGATAGTTAAACAGTTTGACGGATCGGAAATAAAGGTTTTAGGAAAAATTGAAGTACCGTTTGTGATAAATGGTATAGTTGAATATTTAAATTTGTGGATTGTTGATAAAAAAGTGGAGACGATTATGGGGTGGGAATGGATTGTTAAGATTAGTCTATTAAATAATTTTTGGGGTATTTTTTCAAATGAAATTAAACGAGATGAAATGGTTGAAGTTCAGAACATTGAAATAGAAAATAGAGAATTATGTGATATAAAAGAAATCATTGGAAATGGTATGATGGGTAATTGGAAAAGTGAGTTTGAAAAAGGAAATATGTCTCAAACGCGGATAGTTCCAGTTAAAAAAAAGAAAGGTAAGATATACTGAGTTGTCGCAGTGTTAATATTATGGAAAATGACAAGCCCAGAGAGGTAAAAAAAGAAATACCTTGTAGAAAATGTATTAATGAGCGAAATAATGATGAAATTAAAATAGTCATGAAAACAGAAGTAATAGAGGAGAAAATTATTAGTCAGGAAATGTATAAGGAACTGGATAATGAAAAGAAAGATATACCAGTGTTACAGAATTTTCCGGCGAAATTTGTAAGAAAAAAAGAGGAAAAAGAGATTAATGGAGGGGAAGAAAAACAACAATTGTCGAGTTTGGAAAATTGGAGGCTTGCAGTGGCGGTTTTAATGAATAGTTATAGTGAAATTTTTGAGGAGAAATTAGGGTGTTTAGTGGATTATGAAGTTGATCTCCGTTTAAAGGAAGGTTTTGTACCGCAGTATTGTCCGGTGCGAAGAGTTCCATTTGAATGGAGGGCGGAAATGGAAAAAGAGTTGGACAACTGGGTGAGAGATGGAATTATTTGTCCTATTGGTTACAGTGAATGGGCAACTCCGTAGGCCAATGAGGTTATGTGCAGATTTAGGGTGACCTTGAATCCTTGGGTGGTAGAGGTGAAATATCCGTTGCCTCGAATAGAAGAAATTTTGGCCAGTTTGAAAGGGGGAAAATATTTTTCCAAGATTGATTTTTCGTGTGCATATTTGCAATTACCGATGGCAAAAACGACTAGGAAGTTGTTGACGATTGCGACATTCAAGGGCTTGTTTACATTTTGTCGATTACCATTTGGGTTAAGTGTATCAGCCCCTATTTTTCAGCGGACAATCGCTGCTGTTTTCCAAGATTTAGAGGATGTTTTTTATTATATGGATGATGTTTTGGTTGTAGGAATAACGATGAAACAACATGATGATAGGCTAGAAGAAGTATTTATTAGAATTCGAAATAAAGGATTGGCGAGTAGTGAAAAGAGTGTGTTAGGGGTAACTGAAGTGACGTATTTGGGTCATAAGATTAATGGAATGGAGGTAAAACTGTTAGATAAGAATTTGTTGAGTATTAGTAAAGTAGAGGTCCAGTCGTTTATGGGAATGGTAAATTATTACCATAGGTTTATATCGAGTTTTGCGGAAAAGCTGCGCCTTTATATGAATTATTAAGGAAAGGGATACATTTTGAATTGAAAGATGAACAAGAGATTGCGTTCAGGGCGTTAAAGGAGAGAATTGGGAAAGAACCCATTCTAGTATGTTTTAATAGTGATCAGGAAGTATTGGCTGTAGATGCATGTACTAGAGGAGTAGGTGGGGCGATGTTGCATTTGATAGATGGAATGGAAAGACCTGTTTTATTTTTCTCGAGTGTTTCGAGAGGTAGAAAAGCGGTATTCAGTGATAGAACAGGAGTCTTTAGCTGTGATTTTTAGATTAACGAAATGTCGCGAATACCTTATAGGTAGGAAGTTTGTTATTTTTACAGATCATAAGCCGTTGATCCATTTATTTAAGAAAAATAACAAAGAGTTGATGTTATCGCCTCGACTTCAGCGATGGTTATTGTTAGTAGTTGATTTGGATTTAAAATATCGAAGGGGAAAAGAGAACCAGTTACCTGATATTTTGTCAAGGTTAGGTGCGGGCGAAAGTTTGGATAAATCGGTGGTTTTGAAAATTGATAATAGGGAAGAATGTCTTGTACGTACGGTAATGAGAAGTATAAAGGGTAGCCCAACGACATGGGAAGATATACAAAGGTTTACAAGGAAAGATAGAGAATTAGCGGTAGTTAAATTATGTCTAATGGGAAAAAGATCATGGAAAGATGATGATAAAGTTTTCAAAAATATTGAAACAGAATTAACTATAGTGGACGATTGTTTTATGAGAGGACCCCAAGCTGTTTTACCCCGGAAATTGAGGGAAAAATTTTTGAATGTTATACATGCGGGTCATCAAGGAGTTACTCGTATGAAACAATGGGGAAGAGAGTACGTATGGTGGCCGAAAATGAACGAGGATATTGATAAATTGGGAAAAGAATGTGAGATTTGTAATGCATGGTCTGACATGCCCCGTAAGGATAAAAATAGTACATGGCCAAAGGTTGTAGAACCAGGAAAGAGGGTTCATGTTGATTTTTTCGAATATGAAGGAAAGAAGTATATATTAAGTGTAGATGCGTTCTCCAAATGGGTAGAATTTGAAGAAATTCATGGGTTGATGGCGAATATTTTGATTAAACATTTAAAAAAAGTATGGTCAAAGTTTGGTATTCCGAAAACTGTGGTATCGGATGGTGGACCAGCTTTTATCGGTGAAGAATTCAAGAGATTCTGTGAAAAAACGGGTGTATATCATGTGTTAACGCCACCATATCATCCCAGTTCCAATGGACAGGCGGAGCGGATGGTAGCGACGGTTAAAGGATGGTGGAAGAAAACCAAAAGGGAAAAGGAGAAATGTGGGTGAAGCATTTGTATTATAATAATGCAATGGGTAATGATGGTTTGTCTCCGGCAGAAAAAATGATAGGCCGGAAGGTAAGGATGTTTTTGGATATGTTAATACCCAGTAAAGCTGAGGTAGTTGTAGAGGATATTGATAGAAGGGAATTGGAATATATTGTGGGACAGTTAGTGTGGATTAAATTATATGGAAGTACAAAAAAAATGGGAGAAAGGAGTAGTAATAGAGAATTTGGGAAACAAGTTAAATAAAGTGAAATTTGATGATAATAATGAAGGTGTTAGGCATAGAGATCAATTACGGAGGAGGGTCATATAGAAATAGATTTTTTTTTTAAAAAAATTTTTATATTGTGTAAAAGTACTTTAGGGTTGATGCAATAGTTGTTAATTGAAATGATATGGTAATATGGCGACATAAGATGGGATAGTTGATACGTGCGTTTTGGTCAGCCATATAAAAAAAGATTGGAGGAATTACAAAACAAAATGATGTTTTGCATTAATAGTAAAAAAAACAAGGGGGGAAATTTGTGGTGAAGTAATTAAATAAAATTATTGAATGTGAAATATTACATAGCATTTGTGTTTAATTATTTGAAAAAAAATAATATTTGATTTGAAAGAATTCGTGTTGTTGTAGTGTTGGAATAAAAGAAAAATAAATAAAATGAGGTTAATGGTAATGTTTTGAGGGGAAGGTTATGAAAATTTTTGTAGAGAAAATGTTTTGGTATAGTTTACAGAGTGTTTAATAGGCATGTTAAGGGGAACGGTAATAATTTTTTAAAAAAAAGGGGAAAGAAAGGAATAATAAATTAAACGGTAGAAAAAAGTAAAAAGATTAAAGAAAAAAAAATAAATATATGTGGAATCAGGCAGTTGGTGTTATGAAATTTGTAGGGAAATAAGATGGGAGTATGTAAAAAAAGAGGGGGTAGTAATAAATTTTTTTTTGAAATATTTAGTATTTTGTAGATTTGTTATTTATGTAAAAAGAGGAAGAATTTGTGTAAAATTTTTTTTATTGTAGTTAACCTGAATAAAAAAACAATTTTTTTTCTGTTCTTGCTAACAATATTTTCCTTCCGATATAAAATTTTTTTTTTTTGTTTTGAAATAATTGTGAAATTTTATTTTTAAATTGAAACCTGCAATGGAAACTTGTATATTAAAACAAAGAATGATATGATTATGGAGAGACTAATAGTGACATGGGAATGATATATAATGATAAATGTAAATTGCAACAAAGTGCAGCAATGGTAAATATAATAGGAGAAAACGAACGATATAATTCAGGGCTCCAAAAGAATTGTCAGCAGGAGAAGACCGGGGCCAATTGTGTGCTATGGATGTGGGGGTGTGGGACACATTTCAAGGCATTGTCCCACCCAAACGACTTTCAGCTATAGAGAACGGGGGGAAGCTCGATTTCGATTGGCCAGGCGTGATCATATTCCGTTCCCTTTATGGACAAATTCGCATACGATTGGCAGAAAGGAAATGAGGAGAAGCGTGTCGACTGAGGAAGATGTTCAAGACAATACGAATATGACCCAACGAAAGGAAGTAGTTATAAAGCCACGGCCGGTGCAATTGGTATTAGCAACTGCTGACGATGTTTGTGGAACGATTCAGTGAAAAAACGGGTGTATATCTTGTGTTAACGCCACCGTATCACCCCAGTTCCAATGGACAGGCGGAGCGGATGGTAGCGACGGTTAAAGGATGGTTGAAGAAAACCAAAAGTGGGAAAGGAGAAATGTGGGTGAAGCATTTGTATTATAATAATGCGATGGGTAATGATGGTTTGTCTCCGGCAGAAAAAATGATAGGCCAGAAGGTAAGGATGTTTTTGGATATGTTAATACCCAGAAAAGCTGAGGTAGTTGTAGAGGATATTGATAGAAGGGGATTGGAATATACTGTGGGACAGTTAGTGTGGATTAGATTATATGGAAGCACAAAAAAATGGAAGAAAGGTGTAGTAATAGAAAATTTGGGATACAAATTAAATAGGGTAAAATTTGATGATAATAGTGAAGGTGTCAGGCACAGGGATCAATTACGGAAGAGAGTGCATATAAATGGTTGAAAGAGGAAATTGTAAAAAAATAAAATATTTAAGGATAGTTCCTGGTTAATAAAGATGTAGATTTCAATGGTTTCAATGGTGTAAATAATCGTGTAATCAAGAAGCAACCACTACCCCCACGTACATCGTATGTAGTGTTGTAAAATAGTCGAGTTTTTACGACTCTGAACTCAAGTTGGAGTCGCAAAACTCATTTCAAATTGAGCGGCGCACGGCTTCAGAGTCGACTCGATGAGTCGGCTTCAGAGTCGGAAAAAATTTATTTTGAATCCGCCTGCTATTATTATTTACTCCACGATAAAATATTTAAAAAATTTAACCACTATGGTTCGAGAATTTAAATATTTTAAAATTCAAAATGACTTATGTATAGTGTTAATTTGCTTGGTCGTAAAATTAACAACCAAATTATGGGCTCAGAGCATTAAAATCTAACAATCATTTATCTTAATTATATATATTTGTATATAGATGCGATATCAGCTCAATAAATTTTTTAAGTAGTTTCTGTATTGATATTCAATAGTTGATGTATCGGTATGTAGATACGTTTTTATAAGATGTATTTAGTAATTATAAATATGGTTAACTCAGTATTTTATCCATCAAAAATATTATGCAAGGCTGAAGATTTTGCTCATAACTAGAAATCTCAAGCTAGGTAATTTTTTTAGAAAATATTTAGTTGACCATTTTTAAAAATAAGCTCAAATGGGGAATTTTGCATCACAGATGTATTTATATTTATATCCATTTTTAGACGATGAATCTGGAACCATTTACAAAGTATAGAGTAGCATAAAAAATTGTATTCCTATTAGGGATCTGTAAAACACCACCTAGCCCGGGTATATTTTCTAGTGTTGTTAAACGGCTCAATTTGAGCCGATTTTTAAAAACGGCTAACTCAATATTTTATCCAGAAAAATATTATGCAAGCCTAAAGATTTTGCTCATAGATGGCACTGGCACATAGGATTGAACATCTTTTAGGGAAATCTCGACGCTTAGGCAATATTTTCCTCGCTATAATGTTGAGTTAGCCGTTTTTAAAAATCGGCTCAAATGGAGACGTTTAACAACACTAATATTTTTATATAATGTTGGTTCGGGCTGGGTATAATATTTTTTAAATTTTCGTGCCCGGTATAATTTTTAAATATGATATCATTACATTAAATTGATATACTTTTAAATTCTTCCTGGTAAATTTAAACGAAAAATAATCGGATTTTAGTTTTTATGCTATTATTCAAGTTATTGCCCACTAAAAAAAATACTTTATATTTGGTATAATATAAGATTTAATACATACTAGAGGAAACAAGGGTTAGGTAAACCCCGGGATTTGGCAATCCGGTTAATCTCATTTTAAAATTAAATACACCAGAAGGTTAAAATTTTATCCTAATATAATTTTTATTAGTTTACATCTATAGACAAAAATCTTTTTAAATAATTAATTATTAAAAATTTTATAATAAAATTTCTCTTGAAAAGGCAATTTCAGGCTGTTTATGATTGGTATTTAGGATTTATAATAGGAAATCATAATCTCTCCTTAAGATCCTTATTTTTTTATATCCAAATCATTAAATTAACCAAAATTAAGTTTCAATTTTTATATATGATTAGCTTCAATTATATTTTGAACAATAAAACGATAAAACTATTCTAAACATTTCAATTTATTATGGCCTAAAAAACTAATGGTTAAGGAAGCCTCTTGAAGTTGTTTCTCACCCCACTGGGGCTTGTTGGACAAAATTTTCACTAAAAAATAAAATTTAAAAAAAATGATTATATTCTTAAAATATTTCATAAGGTATCTTTATAGAGCATAGTTTTAAGTGTCTATTCATATATTATTTATATTATCTAAAAAAAACAGGGGTTATAGCCAATTTTGTAAAAATCGGTTCGACTAAACCCAATCTCTCTTACTTATATTTAAAGTATAATAACTGTTGGTCCACTCTAGGAATTTCTACAAATATTAGGTAGAGTGTATGTCAAAAAAATTTAAAGTAAAAAAAGATCAATTTTTATATTATAGAGCCATTTAGGCTTATTTTCAATAAAGTAATTTATATAATATTAAAGGGCTATTATGTAATATTAAAATATACATTATAATTATAATTAAAAATTAATCTTATCTTATCTAGCACGTAGGTCATGCGCATATGAATTATATGTAGGCCCGCCCTTCATATAATTATGCCGTTCTCAAGGGTATCAACAAACCTTGTAACTTAGATGTGTTTTATCATAATGAGTGGAACTACACCCTATCTAATTTAAAATAAAGAAGAACAAGATTTTTTCTTGTTTTATATCATATCACAAAATTATCAAAATATAGTATATCTTTCACCTTATTCCCCTCAACTAAACCCCATCGAAAATTTTTTTGGCGTTTTGAAAAATCAATATCGCTCTATATTCCCAAACCAAATAACGGAATCCATAAAATCGAGGCAATTACTAGCTTTTTGCTAAATTTCACTAATTATGGTTTCACAGCCTTCTATTCACATACGATACGATATATCGAAGAGGGAATCCGATCTATTCCTTTGAACAATTAATTTAATAGATAATTACACAAGATTATTATATAATGTAGATATATTTTTTCGCTATATTATGTGCAATGCAATACGAATAGAAAATTTTATATTTTTTGATCTTTTATATAAATAAAATAAAGGTTTCACAAGTCATTCTCGAAACTAATATAAGAAAGGTAACTTTAATAGAAAATAATATAAACATGAAAAATAAGTTAAAAAATTATCATAATTTGACCTTAAGCTTTGCCAAAAAGATATTTATTTTTTCTCCAAATTTGGGTATCAAACTGGGAACATGGAGATGGAGGATATTTCCTCCATTTTTAGCGATTTTTTTAAATTTTTTAACTTAAATACAAGTTTCCCCTGGCATCTTAATATTAATTTCAAATTTACTTTAAAAAATTTTCTAGGAGATATAAGCGAGATTCCCAATTTTTATCAATTTTTGTTTTCGCGATTTAGAACTTTTTAACTCATTCAAAATTTTTTCCAATACCCTTCCCTACAAAGGAGGGGTAAATAATACCCCACGACTTTTATAATCTTGATAATAAAAAAACCTGAAGATATTTTGACCTGGTTTTTATAGTAGTTTAATATTTTGTTATTTTTAAAATTTTTTATAAATTGCAAATGTGTTATTTTCATTATTTATGCAAGAAAAAGACTTTTATTTATATGGCTGCGTTTTAATTTCAATATGTTTCATTAAATCATCACAACACTGTATATTACAGTGAAACGATACACATGTTTAAATATACTATAAAAGGGGGTAAACAAAATAAGATTTTATTTTTAATAGAATAAAGATTGAAATTAAATATGGACAAGCAATTAATTAAGAAGATTAATAGTTGATTAATCATTATAAAAAAAATGTGTAATTTGTTATGAAAAATGAATTTTTTTTTTATTTTCTTTGAGAATGCTCAAGTAAGATATTTGATTAAATTTCATTTAAAATTCTAAATCATTTTTTGTAAAAAGTCTTTTTAATATTTTAGAATTTCTTAAATGTAATCTATTTTGTATATCCATTTATTTCGATAAAAATATGATAACACTATAAACTTTTATAATAATTTCGATAAAATAATTAATACATAAATAATATAATTATAATTTATCAAAATATTCCATTGTTCCACGAATTTGATGTTGGTACCTTTTTAGAAATTAAAAGAGTTAATATTATAATTATTAATACAAATCGATTATAAAGATTACCTAATTAATCCGTTGCCCGCGATAACCCAACTCCAAATAGCTTTGCATGTGATTGTAAAAGTTAGTGAAATCATAAGGAATAAATCCGTGTAAGAGTTGAATAATATTCCTAACAATTTCATCTCTTGAATTAGGGCGGGGATTGATTGCTCTAAATTTATTTTTCAAAACTCCAAAAAAATTTTCAATGGGATTTAACTGAGGTGAATAAGGTGGTAGGTATTCAATCCTACCTTTATAAGAATCGATAAGATGGCTTCTATGGATAGATGCATTATCCATTACAATGATTGCATCTGGTGGTAGGATACTAATAAGCTCCGTCATAGAATCACGGAATAATAGCCCATTATAAGCTCCGTCTATTATTTTATAATGTATTACCCCTCCAATTCCGATTGTACAAAGGATACTTACATTTTTGCCCTTAAAGGATGGGATTTTTATTATTGGACGGACATTGTATGGCGCCCAGGCGTAGATTGGTACAACATGCAAGTTTATTCCAGTCTCATCTAAGAATTATAAAGTTTCTCTTGGGATATTTAAGATCTTTGCACAATAAATTTGACGAATATTAATAGCCCCGGGAGTATTTCTTCTATCAGGCTCCTTGCCAGCCCTTTTTTTAGACCAACCAATATTTTTAATATATTTACTAATTGTGGTTTTTGTTTTTGGACTACCAGGAGGTAACTTTTCTATTATCTCCTGAATAGTCAAAGTGTTATTATCCATTAATAGGCTTATGATACTTCTTTCAATAATGGAAGAATCTTTCTTTTTACTTCCTCTTTTTTGAATATTATATTCCTTTAAAGGATCTCCATTTATTTCTGGGAATGTATCCCGTCTAAATTTGTGAACAGATGCAGTAGACATTTCGACATATTTTGCTATGTCTTTTATTTTCATTTGTTGTTTTTCCGGCATTGATAACATTTTGGTAACTATATCTAATTTTTCTTTATTTTAATATTTGTGTATTCTTTTTGGTCTTTGAATTCTCGACGAAGATTGGGAGTTTTCATTTAAATTGGAAAAATTAGTATTACTATTGGATAATAAAGATTCTATATTAAACATTTTTTTTTATTATTTAAGAAAAATTAAAAATAATTAATATGTAAATATTTTAATTTTTTATTTTAAATTAAATTTTAACACATTTTTTTTATTATGATTAATCAA